AAGGGGGTACTGAGGACCTTATTCTAACCCGGATCCCCACGGGGTCAAACAGAAGAGGAAGAACAAGGTAAGAATACCACAGAAGAGCCAGATATCAGCGACAAAGCCTTAGAAATTAACTTTATTGATTCATATACCTGTTCATTAACTCTTGTGATTATTTCATAATAGTTACAATTGTCTTACAAAACAATCTTGTCGTCAATTCCAGTGCAGAAAACTTTCACATTATAGAACTCCATTCTTTTAAAGCTTCTAAAGATGCCTTCAATTGTACAGCGACAAAAACTATCCTTGCCATTCCGAAGACAGAGAAATAGAAGACTGTGAATGCGAGGTACCTTATTTAAATTCACATATTGCTTTAATTGTGAAATTTAGATCCTTCTTTAGGATTTTTGTATCGTTAAATAGTTTGAATTTTTTATCTTTAATGGGTTCGGATACTTTTTTTTTACATTCAAAACAATTGTACCGTTTTTGAATATAATTATGTAAAATTTAAATTTGCTACATAATTAAATGCACTCATGTGAAAAGGCATCAAAGAACTATCGTTAACAGTTTTTAATATCTCCAAACATTGAAAAAAAATTATGAAAGCGATAACGAAGAATCCTCTCACAACCTGAAAAGAAAAAAGGGGCTCTGTAAAGCAAGAATGCTGTCAAAAAGAAAAGAATCTTATTGAATCTAACCCTTCTTCTTCTTCTTCGCCAAATCGTCACTCTAGCAGGGATTCTATAAAGTCAAACATTAGCCCTTCTAGAACAGAAAGGAAGCGTAACTACGTAAATAATTCTGGCGGAAGAAGCTAAAAACATATGCCAGTGGACAGAATTCAAAACGAAACTAAAGGCGTTTGATTATGTTCAGTTTCATTCACAATTTATACATACCTTGAATGTGTATCCAGGTATCATCCTTTTATTTAGCAATGGATATGATGTTAGCAGTGTTGTGTTTTGCAAAATGTACACCAGTTTCATTCTTTGTACATATATTGGCACAGTCAACATCTTTTTATTTTTTTTCCCCACAGTTATACATTCTTAATCGATGGAACTATTTCCATTTCTTCATTTCTACGGTAAAAGACTCCCCATACTTGTAATCTGTATCAGAAAAATAATAAAAACGAAAACAAATGAAAATCTTCTTGTTTATTCAACTAAACTGAAATATTTAATCCCTAAAAAATTCTAAAGGAATAAATACATGAATGTAAAGGGAGAGAAAATTTATAGTTATATATGCTTTGTTTACATAATTGTATAATTAATGCTTGGTTAACATAATTATATAATTAATAACGTAGCTTAATTACCTTGTAGATGAATCCAGTGTTCTCCAATATAAAATGTAATTGATATACTCTTGTTTCTCCCGAATAAGAGACTTTATTTAGATTGTCCTGGACAATTTTGCTTTCAAACTAGATATCATTGAGATGGTGACCATCTCAAAGGACATCGCTTTCAACAATGAACATGAAAATGTAAGGTTAAAGCAATATGAGCTGCATGTTTGACATTTTATTGAAAATTTGTAATCAACTAATTTAATGACAGAAAAATAAATTATTTATAAACTTCTGTTGCTCATATTTGCAATGGATTTTTTTTATTTATTAGCTTTGATTGAAGCAAAATTGAATTATTGTCATCCTGTATAATAATGATTTCTTATATAAAACTGTATATTCGTTTGTACAGAAATATTTCTTCTGAAACATTTTTAAACTTTATTTTGGGCTTATTGATCATAAAAGATTAAATTACATACAAATTGATCATAATGGCACATTTGACCATAAAAATAAAATTCTCAAAGATACAGTTCATATTGCTTTAAGTTTAAAAGGTTTATTTTGAAGAGGAACATTTGTGCACTACAGTGAAAGTAACTTAGTATGATTTCACAGATATTGCAATTTTAAAGGTATTTATATATCAAAGTTATCTTGTATTCTCAGTTATATACATTTACTAGAAAATTATTCACCAAACAAAGATTTTAAACATAGAGGCTAATTCTGACCATAACCTAGAAACTTTGACCAATTAAAGTCACTGAAAATCAATTGACCAGTGGCACTCTGTGAGTGAAATATGAGCCAGATGTGGCCAAGGAGAGAACATATGCTACAGACAAGAATTTTTCATATAAGTCTGCTATGACCTTGAACTTTGACCTAGAAACATGGTTCAAGGTCACTGCACACCAGTTACCCAGAGGCACTCTGTGGGTGAAGTATAAGCCAGATTGAGCCAAGGAGAGAAAAGATATACTCCGGAAAAGGATTTTTCATACAAGTCTGCTTTGACCTTGACCTTTGACCTTGAAACATGGTTCAAGGTCACTGCACATCGGTTACCCAGGGACACTCTTTGGGTGAAGTATGAGCCAGATTGGGCAAAGGGGAGATAAAAGATATGCCTCGAACAAGGATTTTTCACAAAAGTCTGCTTTGACCTTGACCTTTGACCTAGAAACATGGTTCAAGGTCACTGTACACTGGTTATCTAGAGGCACTCTTTGGGTGAAGTATGAGCTAGATTGGGCCAAGGAGAGAAAAGATCTGATTCGGACAAGGATTTTTCACACAAGTCTGCTATGACATTGACCTTTGACCTAGAAACATGGTTCAAGGTCACTGCACACTGATTACCCAGAGGCACTCTGTGGGTGAAGTATGAGCCAGATTGGGCAAAGGGGAGAGAAAATATGCTCCGGACAAGGATTTTTCATTTAAGTCTCCTATGACCTTTGACCTACAAACATGGTGTGAGGTCACTGCACACCTGTTACCCAAGGGCACTCTTTGGGTGAAGTATGAGCCAGATTGGGCCAAAGGGAGAGAAGATATGCTCCGGACAAGAGATCTTGGACGGACTGACGGACGGACAGTTCGACGGACGGACAGACTGATCACTATAGGGCACCCACGGAGCGGGGCCCTAATTAAAAGGCCACGTGGAAATCGATTTGGCAAACCGGTCGCAAAGAAGAAACTTAAATTAATGAAAATTAAAAGTAAGAAAAAAATTAATGAACATTAATAGGAAGAAAAGATAATCAAGGGGTAAATTATTGATAGTATATACTTGAATAAACATTATTAAAGAAGTAATCAGAGATTGACTTAATCTTACTGTTGGGAGAGTTAACAATTAAGTTTCCCGCCATTCATAGCGACATATTTACTTTTTACAAAATCATGAAAATGGCTAGTTCCGACTCTTCAAGGTTGATGATAGTTTTCCTGCTATTTAATGCTTATGTTGTATTTAAAAAAGATTATTGACTGAATGAGTTGTGTGACGAAGCAGGGATTTATGCTTGGAAAGGATATGGTTGATGTTTCAACGAACAAATTTCAACTCTGACATTTCCGAGGTTTTTTGACGACTCAAAACTAGGTCTGACTTGTTGGAATGTTAAACTGTTGGAGTTATGTCCAAGACACGATGAAGAATCGATATCGACAGAAATTTGTCATAATGTAAGACTTGGCTTACCTATGTGTACCTTTTATTTCGATATCGATTCGATATCGACACAACCTTGCAATTACTTTTTGTTATATGATATATATCATTTCTTGTTATATTTGTAAAACATTAAGTGACTTTTAATCTCTGTCGATATCGTCGATATCGACGATATCGAGTCGATATCGAAAGAAACTTTTAGTGTTACATTTGTGTTAGATTGGAAACTGTATTGTGACATCAAGTGACCTTATATATCTGTCGATATCGTCGATTTCGACGATATCGATTCGACATCGACTTATGCATAATATGCTTTTTTTAGAATGAGACCTTTAGTTTAAATATATGTCGATATCGACGATATCGACGATATCGATTCGATATCGACACAACCCTCGAAGTATTGTAATAGATAGCAAGTTTATTGTGACATCAAGTGGCTTTACATCTCTGTCGATATCGACGATATCGACTCGATATCGATCCAAACCCTTTACTTTTTGATTTAAGGAATAACTGTCTTATTTTTCGAATTTATGAAGTGATCAATGGTTTGGCTTGTGTGATAATTTGCATAAACGCCGAAGGCGTTTATGCATAAAATTATCACACAAGCCAATCCATTGATCATCTTCATGAATTTGAAAAATCTGACAGTTATTCCTTATATTTACATGCTTTGATTCCGCCAATCCACGGGCTCCAAGCCTGCTTCTCTCTAGGTGTTGTCCCGCCCTGCACGTTGTTTTTTGGAACTGCGCCAAAGAACATTCATGAGGAAATCAATTACATTTACATTTGGTAATTTTATCTCGGACAAAGACATTGGAAATGTAAATATTTGGTTAGGAACTTTAAAACTGCATTACTTATGTGACGACATCGTCGATATCGAGTCGATATCGACATAACCAAAAAAAATCTATTTTTAATCAGAACAATTAGCTTATTCCTGTGTTTTGATATCAACTATATAGATTCAATCTAGACACTACATTGGAAACATTTGTTCTGAAATGAATCCATAAATGCCAAAGACCAAAATTATAATTGAGAGGTTATTGAAGATAGATCGTTTTAGTTAACAACTCTTATTATAATCCTTATTTTCTTTTTACATATATATATAGCCCTTCGGGCTCGGTGAATATTGTACTCCTCAGATGGCTAAATCATTGTATTGACCTCAAAAACCAGCAATAATTGTATAATATATATATATATATATATATATATATATATATATATATATATATATATATATATATATATATATATATATATATATGGTAATTAGCTTATTATTAATTATTATTAATTATTATAATAAATCAATTTGCCCTGTAGAAAAGTAGTTCTCCATTTAAATTTGAGAGATAAATTGTATCTAAAAAATTCATGATTAAGTAATTTGTTGCATTTCTTAAAAGTTAAAAGTTTTATTTCAAATTAAAGATAGAAGACACTTTTCAATTCGAATGTTTTTAATTTTACTGAAATTTGTTACATGATTTTTTGTTTTTTGGATTGACACAAATAATTTTCAGTGTTCTCAAATTGAGATTGGTATTCTTCGAATTTAATACTGAATCTAAGCAATTTCTCTCCGAACTCCATTGCTTTTTCCAAATCAAAATCTGTGACGTTTGTTTTGTCGAAGACAACTGTGACTCTCCCACCTCCAACTGGCCGTTCGTTGTTTACACCGCCCAAACCCATGTCTGCTAGCTCCTTCATGTGTTGTTTAATTGTATCGGCGCTAGACCTAGAGCATCGTGCAACGTCTTGGCATCTAACAGCTTTACCGGGCCAGAGAAGGATTTTCTTCACCAGGGCTGTGTTCAGCAAGTCAGGTTTGCTGTCGTTTTCTTTACTATATCCAGCAAGAATTTTCTTCTGGTGCAGGAAATAGTCATTTAAAACAATGCTCTGTTTGGTGGCGGACTCAGATATAATCTTGTCCAGGGTCTTCTGTCGCAGATACTCATCCATTTTTCTTATGAAGTCCTCGTTGATCCTGTCCGAGTTTGCCTCATCAATTTCATGGAGAACAACTTGCGCTTTGGATATTGCCTCAATTATCATTGCCAATCTGTGGACTTGGCCTTTGGCTTTGCCAATCAGTCCTGTAAATTTTAAACAGTGTTTAAAATTCCTGATCTTCCCAATAACAATGTATTGTACGTACTGTATGTATATAATTATCATGTTTTTAATTACGACTTTAAAGAAAATTACCTGACAAGAATGTATCATTTTGATGGTTTGTTTTGAGGAAGGTTTGTTGATCATTGTAATACTGTTTGGCAATAGCTAGAGCTGGTGTTCCGTAGCTGTACAAACACGTTCCGACATTCATTTTCTCAACTGCATAGAACAACCTGAAATAAAATGAGAAAAAAAGGATAAACCCCTTGTGGATAAAATGGACAAATAGGCACATTGATATATGATTTCCATGGGTAATTTTATGCATCAGTTATACTAAAAAGGAAGTAGTGTGGTCTAAGTGAATATCAAGTAATAATGGATTACGGGTTGTATTACTACACGTAAAAGATATAATTTATAATAGTACTTTGCCAAGCTGGGTATGTCCTGTCTAATCTCCTGTTCTTCGTCTGCAAATGAGAAAACTGGTTCCGGCATGCACATAAGAAATCTGCTATACAGTCCATCGTTGTTGTCGGAAGTTTTTCTCTCCTCGTCCAGTCGTTTGCAGATTTCTCCTGGCTGCGACATTCCGGTCAAATTTAAGACAGGACAAGGAATTGCAGTGTTGCCTAATTAATAAATAAATGTCACACTGAAGCAGTTTTGAAGTATTTCAATTTCAAAACAAAATGTATGAGCTCGATGTAACAGATATATATTTCTTATATCATTATTATTATATTTCATAATCATTAAAATTATAATTATATAAGATATATTGCAATACTCTACATACTGTTGCATGTCTGCCGTTTTAGGGAACCACCATTGTATGCAGTAAGATAAATGGTTGTTTCGTAGTCAGACGCACTGCCGGATTTATACAATCCAAGACTTGTTTGCCAAGTTTTTAACTCGTCCCACATCATAATTTGCCTGTTTTCTTGTGTGAGTTGTTTCAAAAGTGATTCCACTGTTGCAGCTACAACACAAAATGTAAAGTTTATTTAATAATTTTTTCATATAATGCTATTATAAAAATAATAAGATTTGGAGATTATTACAATTTTTATATTCCTTCCTTATCAAAAACATTTCTGGATAATTTTTTTTTCTAAAATGGGCGTGCCCCTTTTCCCTTTTAGAAAAAAGTAAGTGAATACACGATCGATATGTTGTATTTGTAATTTTAAAAAAATAAAGTCAATTTAATTATGCCAATGTATTAGGAAACAGCTATATGTGTTTGTACCCCATCAATAAAACATTCGATGATCCCCCTTTGTATAGCTTGTCAATTTTTCATAGTTGATTGTGCCCTGCAACTGAAAGTGTATGCCATTGCCCCCCCCCCCCCCAACAAAAATGCATTTTATTGGTCTGGCATAAATGTTAATTAATGAGATCATTTTATTAGCTACTTTCCCCATTTACATTTGTACAAGCCGTTTATACATTGTTACGGTGTAATGTGTATTTATGTATAATTCATTTAGTGCGAATCCTTAAGGGAAATAAATAATTTACAACAAATATTTGATTCATATTCGCAAACAGATAATTCTTAGTTGTTTCAATTAAAATCACCTAAAATATGTCTTAAAAGAAGCTGGTTGTTGTCCTAAAGTTAGGCAAAAATCTTACATTGGTTAATTCGGGAGTTCTGAAAGGGTATCCCCTGTGCAGATTCCACTTCTTGAATGGCTCCCTTAATGATTTCTATGGCAGCAGATTTGTTGGTGCCGGTAAATCCTACTGTAGTGGAATAAATTATTGCCGGCTGCTTCCAGGTTCCCCAAGGACAAACTACAGATTTTCCAAGGAAATGTCCACAGGCAGCTAAGAATGGTGGAAGCAGAAACTCGGGCGGTATGCTATTAGCGGAAGAAATATTTTCCAACATATCTCCAGTTTTTTGATCGAAAACATCTCGAACGGATATCCTTTCTTCGTAGCATTGTTTAGATCTTGATTGGAATGAAAACATTACGTAGTCGGATGTTGTATTATGAATCACGGATGCTTTTAAAATTATAGACGCTAAAACGGTATTCACCTAACGTCAAACAGACGTTTGTTTTGTTTTGTTACTAATTAACGTCACTAGGTAACAACAGGTAACGTCATTAATCCGACGTTATTTGGCAGTATTTTAATTGCGGGAATTGTATTATTGAAATCTAAAGTAAGAGTGATACAGAAGGGGATGATTATGAAATAAATGTGTTTAACGAAAATGAATAAAACTTACAAATAATTATTGAATTACATTCAGAATATTTACATGTAATTATATTATTTTAATTGATTGATCTATTTAAATGTTCATTTATTTCATTAGTTCTAATTTATTTATTTTACAATGAAATTTATGAGAATTATGCCAAAAAAAAAAATAATCAAAGTACTGAAAGTACTGATAGACGGAGGCTTGGAATGAATGATTGTTTGTCTCTTTGGGAATTTTTTATTTGACCCCAACATTTGCCTAAGGGTAGTTGGCTATATTTTTTGAAAAGTAGATACCAGGACATTAATACTTCATATATATATTCTTTGTGGAAAGACTTTTCATTGGATATCAACAACCTTGACCTTTTGACCTTGACCTTCGAGATTCCATACTTATGAAAAACATTTAACCTTGGCCATGCCTTTTGAATGGTAAGGGATATATAGTGCTTTCATACTTCCATATGTAATCCTTGTAAGAAGACCCTACATTTAATACAAAGAACGTTGAACCTTTGACCTTGGAGTTTGACCTACTTTTATAAAGCAAATCTTGACCATAACTTTTAAAGGTTTAGGGTTAGTGCTTTCCTACTTTATATATTTAATCCTTATGGCAAGGGCCTTTCATTTTATAGCAAGACATTTACCTTGGAGTTTGGCCTACTTTAAAAGAAATATCCTTTGTCATAACCTTTGAAGGATTAAGGCTTCATACTTCACATATGTATTCTTTGTGGAAAGATCTTTAATTCATTGCATACCAAAAATCATAACCTTTTGACCTTTACCTTGGAGATTTCCGTACTTATGGAGTAACTTTAACCTTAGCCTACTTTCATATTTCACTATTGTATTTACAGTAAGAATACTCTACTTTTGGTACTAATATTTAAATTTGCATTTAAGAAAAGTTTAATTTTCGCTATATTACCATACCCGCTGGGGGGGGGGGGGGGGGGGGGGGGGGGGGGCATCACAAACACATCTTCTTTATGTATGTTACAGCGGTCTAATGTTTAATTACATGTATGTAATTTACTAAATTCCTATTTTTCACTCTAATTGCAATAATTAATTTCAATTCTTGAGTGACTCATGGTAAGAGCTTCCTGAAATGTGAGAAAGCCAAAAAGTACTTTAATTTCAATTCTTGAGTGACTCATGGTAAGAGCTTCCTGAAATGTGAGAAAGCCAAAAAGTACTTTAGTATCTCTAACTCTTCAGGACTAAAAGGAGCTGAGATACAAGCATTCAGATATATCAATGCATAGATCTATATGCACATTCAACTTTTAATTAACAGTTCTGTTGTGTTGGATATGAACATGAAGAAGAACAAATATTTCCAACATTATGAAAAACTAGTGCTAATTGTAACGGGGACCGTTACAGATGTTCCCCAAACGCTCCCCAACTCCCTTTTGGTGCCATATTCCCTGTAATCTCTATTAGATAAGAAATACTTTATGGAAGTTAGACTTAATCAAGGTCTTCCCAGAAAAATACAAAATATATTTAAAAATAGGCATTGCACGCGTGTTCATGTGCATAACGACCATATTATCTTGTCTACACTATCTCAAATTTTAATATACTTAATATCAAAGCATTTAATCCAAAAGTATTAAAAAATTCACTCATTCGAGTGTATTTTTAATTTTACTCATTTAACGTGCACGCACGTGCAAGCACGTACATAATGACTACATCTTCTTGTAGGAGTCCCTTTTATTTATCGATGTTCTAAATCCCATCCTGTTTGGTAGAAAAACAAGGGAGTTATAGCCATTTGAAGTTTCAGCCAATCAGATTACAGCACACATGCATGCGCGTTATTTCATAAATTTTTATCTTTATCGTATTGAAGGATATCTAAATGAATGGCTATATTTTAAAATTCCAAACATTTCGTCAAAAAACAAAGGAGATATAGCCATATAAAGTTTCAGCCAATCAGATTGCAGCACACGTGCATGCGCGTGATTTCATGAGTTTTTTTTCTATATCTTATTTTAGGATATCTTAATGCATGACTATGTTTTAAATTTTAAAGCATTTCGTCAAAAAACAAAGGAGATATAGCCATATAAAGTTTCAGCCAATCAGATTGCAGCACACGTGCATGCGCGTGATTTCATGAGTTTTTTTCTATATCATATTTTAGGATATCTAAATGCATGACTACGCTTTAAATTTCAAAGCATTTCGTCAAAAAACAAAGGAGATATAGCCATATAAAGTTTCAGCCAATCAGATTGCAGCACACGTGCATGCGCGTGATTTCATGAATTTTTTTCTATATCATATTTTAGGATATCTTAATGCATCACTATGTCTTAAATTTCAAAGCATTTCGTCAAAAAACAAAGGAGATATAACCATATAAAGTTTCAGCCAATCAGATTGCAGCACGCGCGCATGCGCATGCTTTCATGAAATATTTTATATATCATGCTGTAGATCTTCGTAATGTAGTACTATGTCCAAAATTTCAAAAGATTATGACAAGAAACAAGAAAGATATTGAGACTTTAGTTTCAGCCAATCAGAGCGAAGCGCACGTGCATGCGCGTGAGATCTTGCTATTTTGACCATGCCATCTTGTCTATACTACAAATGTATCCTTACATTATGAGTTTCAAAAAAATTCATCAAGAAAAAGAAAAGTTACAGCAATATCCATTATATTGGTCATTTCACGTGGTGCACGTGCGCGCTCTTGCAAGCACGTGCGCGCAAAATGACCTTCGTTCGGCAAATCTACATAACATCCCTACTGACCCTAAAAAGGTTTTACCTAAGTCGGATGTGTAGTTTACAAGATCACTCGCGGACAAAATTTTCCCAGGAAGAAAAATAAGAATAATAACTAGAGCCGAGCTCGTTGCAAAGCAACGAGTAGGTCTTCCGTCCTGTTTGACCGGAAGTAATTTTCATTTAAAAGAAAAAGAGTAATGAAGTCCAAAAATGGTTTAGTCCTCCAAATCTATGTTAATTATTGCAAAATAAAGCCATTTTTGCCAACTTCCGGTTTGACCGGAAGTACCGTCGACGGACGGAAAATTAAGATTTAAGCTTCCAGTGACATATGATATCCAAAAACCTGTCAAGAACAGCAAAAATTTGCAATTTTTGAGTACTTCCGGTTTGACCGGAAGTGACGTCGCCGGACGTATTTTGATGACCCCATTAGATAAAACTTGACATTTTGAACAACTTTGCTTCTTTGATGTATTACAAATTCTCAATACTTTTTGAGATATATAGGAAAATCTTTCGGCCCCTCTAGGCCCTTAATTTTAGGGACCAGCCCTTTTTTCGAGATATCACCTGAAAGATCTTAGGATTCTACACTTCTTTTGTTCTATATGTTTTAACAAAATATTTCAGGGTTAAAAGATATCGCAGAAAAGGTGTCAAAAAATTTGAAATTCGTGATAGGACTTTTTCGGGCCGTCGGCGCTCTTCCGTCCTGTTTGACCAGAAGTAGCTTTCATTTTTAAACAAAAATGAGAAATAACGCCTAAAAATGGTTTGAATCCTCTAAAGCTATGTTAATTAATGCGAAAATAAGCAATTTTTTGCTACTTCCGGTTTGACCGGAAGTGACGACAACGGACGAAAAAATTATTTTTTTGCTTCTAGAGACATTTGTTACCAAAAAACTTGTCAAGAACGGCAAAAATACGCGTTTTTCGACCACTTCCGGTTTGGCCGGAAGTGACGACGCCGGACGTTTTCTGACGACTTCAATAGATTAAGCTTGTCATTTTGAACAACTTTGCTTCTTTGACGTATTACAAATTCTCAATACGTTTTGAGATATAAAGAAAAAACTGTTGGCCCCTCTAGGCCCTTAAATTTAGGGGCCAGCCCTTTTTTCGAGATATCATTTGAAAGATCTTTAAATTCTGCACTTCTTTTGTTCTATACATTTTCACAAAATATTTTCAGGTAAAAAGATATCGAAGAAAAGATGTGAGAAATTTTGAAATTTGTGATAGGTCTATTTTCGGGCCATAGCGAGCGCCGACGAGCGTCACTTCCGGTAAATTTGATATACCTGATGCACCTCTCCAGACATAGCTCTACCTAGCCTCAAAGTTTGAAGTTTCTATCTAGAGCCGTTTTTCGGGAAAATTGTGGACAAAATGACCCTTAAAAATCAGAAAATCGTCTATATCTCTAGACCGGAAGTGACGTCATCGAAACAGAAAAAAACGCATAAGGTTCAAGTAATGTTCCATACGTCCTGAAAGTTTCATAAGATTTTATGGAGCTGTTTTCGAGAAATCGTGTGCACAAAATCGGTAAGAAAAAAAAATAATAATAAAAGTGAAAAAGAAACCGAAGAAAAACAATAAGGTCTTCCGCTGAAGACGGAAGACCTTAATAACTAGTGCTAATTGTAACGGGGACCGTTACAGATGTTCCCCAAACGCTCCCCAACTCCCTTTCGGTGCCATATTCCCTGTAAGCTTCATTAAATAACACAAACTCTATGGATTTGAGACTTTAACAACGTTTACCCAGAAATGTACAATGCTCATTCAGATTTTAGCATTGCAGGTGTGCGCACGTGAATGCATGTACGTAATGACCATATCATCTTGTCTACACAATCTATATATTTTAATATACTAAATATTAAAAGATTTAATCCAAGAGTATTAAAAAAAATTCGCCCATTCAAGGGTATTTTTGATTTTACTCATTTCGCGTGCACACACGTGCATGGTGACCATACCTTCTTGTAGAAGTCCATTATATATATATATTTATGTTCCAAATCCCATCTTGTTTGGTTGAAAACCAAGGGAGTTATAACAGTTTAAAGTTTCAGCCAATCAGATTGCAGCTCACGTACACGC